ATTAACTCAGTGCTGGTACTGGCAAGGTAAAAGCCTGTCGTTTATGTAGAAAACACATAATTATGCAAGTAAATGAGCATTAGTTTAGTACATTTCCCTAAATCCACAATTACAAATTAATACCATAAACTTTGCCAGTGGTGAGTTTTCGATCTCAGAGTAGTGTACTTTACAGATGAGATACCAATTGCTCTCACTTACATGCAAAAGAAGTATTGTTAGCAAGCCTTCCTCACATGCCTTCTGCTGATCTGTAAGTAGATCAGCCTTCTTTCCTTTAGAGTGTATTTCAGAGGCTTAAATGATGAGAGAAAAACTTACCAAGATCTAAGCAACAAACCTGAGCAATACAAACAAAAAAAAATGCTGCTTAAGCATATTTATCTTCAGTGCTATTTTCTTGCTGCTAAAGATGCTCGTATGATGCGTGATACATTTATATTTGAAATATACACCTCTTCAGTGGAAATCCTAGAAAATCGGAATGAGGTTACTCAGTAATAGCAAAAATAGAAGCAGTTATTGATTGTTTTTAACATGTGTGTGTCTGAAATTCCAGTAATATCCATTGTTCATATGAGATGGTGTAATATAGTACAATCATAAGATGTGTTTTTTATATCCTTGCTCTGTGGACACATTTTACAGATTAAAATACTAATTAACTTGCAGAATATGCATATAACAGATTCAACTTTTAATTTTGCTAACTTTATGTAATGGTCTTACCTGTCCCATGTTCTAAAGCAAGTTGCTTACAGTGTAGTAGAAGGTGTAATACTCAGGTGGAAGTGAGAGGAGGAAGGTTTACATTTGGAAGGAATCTCTAGGTTCCTCACAGTATGATCCTCAGTAAAAATTGACCACCAAGTTTTATTTAGTTTTACTTTACTTACATAGTTAACTATACCTAAATCTTGTTAACAATTAACACTAAAGCTTAAGCCTTACAATAAATTTTAAAGTATGACAAACTTCAGTTCTCATATATATGAGAATATAGTTGAAACTGGTTTTATGTCATGCAATTAAAGCAGTTTGTCCTCAATGATTCTAGTTTTTCTTGAAGTTTTAAGAGTAATGTTTGCCTTCAGTAAGTTCTATAAGTGCACAATGTTAGCTTGAGAAAGTGGGAAAAAATTTGCTTCTTCGATGTTTCAGCCAAAATCAGAATACAAACTCAAATTTCTGTCTTTTATGGGATTAATACTCATTGTTTACTTTATACGTTGCAGCTTCTTCCCAGTTTATTTATAGTAAAATAACAATTTATTATTGAATTAAATACCTGAAAAGGCATCATAATGATGAGATCAAATAATAGAAATACTAAGCTGAAAAAAACTCTTTTGTGGTTAAATTATGTTTGTAACTTCCAGCTGTTCTTTGGACACAGGAAAGAAACGATACCGTAACACTGTTCAACTGGTGGATATTAATAAAAGCTGAAACTTTGTATAAGGGCTGATTAGCTTGTGGTCCTCAGCTTATATTTGACGTGGGGTTCTTATGCCATGGCTGCATCCTTTACCTTGTAGGTCTGGCTGCTACGAGTGCTTCTAGACAATCTACATGCTCAGCCATGGATAGAGTTGAAATCACAGGGGCTGTGGAAACCTAAATTTTGAGATGCTAGTTGCTTACCCAGGCTATTTCCCTTCAACAACGGAGTAAAAAGTCCTTAGGGAGCCTTTGCCATCTCCTGTCTGTCAACAAATCCTAAAGTTCCTTCTCTAAAATCAGCTGTCTGAAGTATGTATATTTAACTTGAGTCTCCTTTGCTGTGAGAAGATCTTGATGCTTGCCTCACAAGGTCAAGAAGATTGGTATACTCTTGCTATACATAGAATGCTCTGAAAAGCTGATAGTTTACTGATGCCTATGTTTTTATATATAACTTTTCATTTAGAAGGAGAGAATGTTACTTCTCAGTGTAATGAAAGCAGTACCTGTAGCTTTTGTTTGTTATTTAAAACTCACCACCTAGAGGTCTGCATTATTGTTTATTATGTGCATACCACTAGTGTACAGAAGTGAAATCCTGACTGACTGAAATTGATAGCCAGACTCCTATTAATTTTAATGAAGGTAAGATTTACGTATAAAGGAGTACATTAAAGAAGAACTAGCACCACGTGGTTCTCAGTTAAACACCTGAGGGTGTAATTTAGTGTTACAGATAAACTGATCTAATAGTGAGTTGCTGCCAAAAGGTTGATCTTTCCTGCCATATGCTTGCTGACTCTTCCAAACCACAAGTCTCTACTTGCTTCTGCCCCTCTAAAAGTTCCAGTGATTGTGTGGCTGCAGCTGGGTAATCCAACAAAGAAGTATGGCTTTTTTGTGTCGCTGCAGCTGGGTGATGCAGCACAGAGGTACTACACAGAGTGGAACTTGCTGTATAGATGCCACAGCTGTATGGAGGACAGAGCTCTCAGTAGTAAGCTTATCACTAAATTGGTTTGGCTGTAATGTCAGATCATATCCTGAAATAAAATTGGTGGTTGTGTGAGTTTTGTCTGAGCACATCATCTGTTCAATGGAAAGGAACAGTGTTCTTTGAAAATTTGTCTCTAGTTTTTAGTAGTGACCAATTTTGAAGTCCTTGTTGGGGCAGTTGAAGGAACTTTTTATATCATCATCACAAGGTAACAGACTTTGGTCCTCTAAATATTTTTTT